TATTTGAACAAAAAAAAAATAACGGGGGAAAAAAGCCCCTTAACAGGTTAAATGGGAATTTATGCCGCGTTTCCACTACACAGCCTCGCTCGGCCCCGCTCGGCCTCCTTTGGCCGCGCCCGGCCTCGTTAGGACCAGCTCACTTTGTGGCGCGTTTCCATTACAGTTTAGGAACCGGTTCAGTATCTATAGTAACACAGTGTAGGCGGAGCGACGCTGCTTAAAACTGCCGTGACGTCATCTTCAATGCGACACAACAATGGAGATGTGAAAGCGATCGTTTGCTTGTTTTTTGCTGTGTGGTTTATTATCACAAGAAATAGACAAGAGTTGTTTCGAAAGAGGCGACGTATAGCAAGACGAGGTATAGAAGAAGCTGACGCGAGAGTTCGGGCAGTCCTCCTACGCCGCAGAGACTACAGGACGACTCGAATCACTACTAACTACAATGCTACTTGGTAAGCTAACGTTCGCTAACTAGCAATGTGTTTAGGCTCACGCTCCCTATACGACCAAAGTATTTCAAGTATTTAATTAATTGTAGCTACCACTTTTACGTATTAAAATATGTATGCTTTTGTTTGTGTATTTCAGAAGTTACCGACCGAGCTACCGAGTGGTGGAATGTGATTGTTCCATCTTTCACACACTCAGTGGGTGGAGAACTTCAGGATGCCTGAGGAAAACCTACGTGTAATACCTAAATATTCATTGTATTGTATTGAACATAAATACATCTTTTCTTTTTCACATACATGTGTTTGTCAAATTATTTAAACCAAAAAAATGTTATCAGAATTGACTATTTAGTAAATATTTGAATTTCAAGCACCAGTACTGCCCCCATAATAATAATCTAATAAATTAAGCAAATATCAAAGCAAACTATAAACATAAATACAAAAGTGTAAAACACAACAGAACTATATTCATAAATGCAAGTGTAAAAAATTGTTAACATGGATGGAGGCTAAAGTATCCACAGCATAAAATAATATGATTATGATGGTTTGTCTGAAAGACACAGCCTCAAGGTTCAAGGTTTTTTATTTTGTCATACGAACATAGCTAGTGTAGTTATGACAATGAACATCTTAGGTCACAGGCTCCTCCAACAGTGCAACACAATAACCCAGATCAACAGAAATATAGTGCAAGTAAATATTAAGCGCTGTGCACCGCTCTCTTTGTATAGGTGTTTTCTTTTGTTCTCTTCTCTTTGAAATATATAAGCAATGTGTTTGAGTCTAGCACAACGAGGGTATTACAATTGAGTAATTTTTCTACATGTATTTATCATGTATTCTTAATACCATTACAAAATATGTAATGCTATGTTTTAGAGGAGGACCTCAAGCTAGCAAACTCAATTTCAAACAGTATGCAGAGTTGTCCTGCTAAAGAGTTAAAATGTATTATTTAACCAAGTATTTATTCTCTTATTTGCTTTAATTGCAACAGATGATAAAGGTTTCACTGTGATAAGTATTCTCTTAAATCCATAAACCCCTGTACAGTGCTTTGTGGACGATGGTGTTTATGATATTTCTGACTGCAGAGGGATGCCTAGATGATGCCATCTTTCTGTGCGATCGCTGGTGGGTGCAATTATTTATCAACAAGCAATAAGATAAGACATGGCATTGATTCTGCTGGGCCAGTTGCCGTTCCTGCAGGGCCAGATCCTCTCCTCCTCGGTTTGTGCTGTTGATGCAGAGGACGTTGTTCGGAACTGTTCCTCCTCGCTAGTCCCAATGTAATCATCTAGAACAGAAACATGACTTGTAAATTCCACAAACTACTGCAGCACAATACTATAAATAGCAACAACAACTATAGAAAAGACAAACTGAACGTAAACAATGGCACATATGGTGTTAGCAAACAATAGCTCTCGCTAATGCTATCTGCCTAGCTAGCCTTCGGGGCTCCATCGGGGTTGTCGAACATAAATGTAAGGATAAAATAGACTTATTTGTTAGAAGTGAGCTTTAAAACAGATAGGGACACAAAGCAGGGACACAAAGCAGGGACACAAAGCTTTCAAGCAAATAACAGCGTTAGCAAAAACGTACCATGCAGACTCCAGTAACGCCGTTGGAGAGTCCAGTGTCTGTGTAGAGACCTCCTGAAAGACTTTGATATTGCGAGTTGTCCCGTCGAGCACCCGCTGGACCTTATCATCTGCAATATAATGGACGTCGTCACTTCCTCGACCGACCATGGTGTGCTTTTCTTTGCCATTGTTGTAGCTCCTCTGTTAACAAAAATGCTGTTTGTAAAAATGGATTATCTCGCGCGCAGATTGTGACGATTCTCTCCGACCAATCAGCAGCCGAGAGCGTTGACGTCACAAACTCAGCCCGGTTCTCTCGGCCCTGGCCCCACGATTTTATGAGGCCAGAAAAACTGAGAATTAGGACCAGCCGGCCGGTACTAGGCCAAGTGGAAACGCAACCACAAACGGGCCGCTGACGTCACAGCCCTCTTAAACCGGGCTGCGCGCTGTAGTGGAAACGCGCCATAAATCAGTGTTCCCAAAGCCCCGGTGTTCTGCAGTTTGTGTGGGCCTACTGTACTGTTGCACAGTTTATGCTGTAGAAACTATGTCCAGGACAAGGTGTTTGGAAGTTTTGGAGGATTCATAGCTAACCACACTGAAGTTATGGAGGTATTGATCAGTCTTCTCATATTTTTAAGCCTCAAATTGTCCTTCTCCCCCTCCCCCCTCCCCCCTCTAACATCACCAGAAGTCATGATTTAAGGGGTCTTTTCTCAAAAAAAATTACCGGGGGAGCATCCCCCCGGACCCCTCTAGTATTGTTTGATCACCATTTCCACAGCCCCACCTAAAATATTTTCCACCAGCCGCCACTGGTGTTTAACATGAAGTAATACAAATACTACATGCAATGGTTGAGATGCTTTTTTAGGTCAGCAGTGTCTAAATAAGGTACAGGAATCATCCTTTGATAAAAATGTTTAATCCTTCTAACAGGTGCCAGTAATGAACCAGAAGAGAGCCTTTACTCAAATGTGGCTGCAGGTAAAGTCAAGTACAAAACACTTTAATACATATACACATAAATATACTAAAAGCTTTTATTGTGTGCTGTGCTGCTTGTCAGATTCAGCAATGAGCAAATCCACCAAATAAAGCTTTTAGACTTTTTGTGCATTTCCATGTCTTTCTTATATACAGCATGTTGTTTTCCAGACATGTTTTGGTTTAGTGAAATGGCAAATGTAAATATTTTCACGCACAAATGAGTTGGCATTAACATACATTGTTTTATTCAAAAATAGTACCATGAGCAGAAAGTACCAAATATTAATAACTTATTTTGGTTTTCTTCCAGATCAATAAAGAAATCCTCATGGACCACCAATAGGTCAAACTAGATGTTCAGATTCAAAGGAACTGAAGCACACACCTTTTGTACAGTGTATTTGTTTTCTTTCAGATTTTTGGGACACGTTTTTTGTTTTGTATTAATACAAATAACTTGGATTATTTTACCATCTCATCTTTAATAATACAAATGTTCTATATTTTGTGAAGCAGATTAACCAAAAATAAATAAAAACATGATGGAATTTCTCATACGCTTATCACCAATAGAAAAACAACAACCCACAAGTATTATCTTTATTTCATGCTTTCAATGCAATCAAAGCAGTAAAGCCTGTCCAGGAGGAAAACAAGGCAGAAGATTTTATATTTTTCAAACATGTTATTGCCATTAAAATACAAAAATGGTAACCAAAACCCTTAATGAACTTAATATATAATATGTTTTCTGCTAGTACTTACACTTTATTATCTTGTATGATTGAAAAATGTGAATATACGTTACTTTGTTCCTACATTGTCCATGGATAAACATACAGTATTCTCTATGTAAAGAGATAGAAGAAGGGAATCTACTGACGCACTACAGCCAACATTAGTTTGTCCAATTTATGTAAGTATTTTACTGAGGATATTCTATTTTATTTTTTCTCCAGTCACTGTGCAGTTATATTTGAAGCTTTCTTTTTCGATATATGACCACAAGGTGGTGTCAAACTACTTTATCTCATACTTTACCTACTCTACACACATAGTCCTTCTAAAGTCTGGCACCAGGGTCTGATGTCATGTAAATGTAACTCCTAACTAATAACTAAACAATTGACTGCTTACGGTTCACTTCCTTAGCTTTGCAGTGATGCATGGAAGTGGAAACTTTCAATTTTGACTACCCACCACATTTAAAACTTCACAGCTACTGAAGTGTTGTGGTATTTATTAATTTTGATCATTATTGCATTAAGTCATCTATGTACAACTGTTGTGATACAATGTTGCCCCTATACAACAAATATTGTCTGTATTCAACTGATTGCTTCATTACTAATGATATAGATATGGAATTATGCAACCTTAAAGTAGATAGTCTATCTCGAGGAGGGGGCAGGACTTTGTCTCTCTTCACATTCACTTCTGGTAAAGAGACTATGAGAGACTTCCTGTGGGTGAGGTTGTTTCTAAACTTAAACTTGAATTCCTCCATAACACTCCAACACTGCAGTTCAACTATTTGGTTAAAGCTGTTAAAAACACATTTTGATATGAAATATTGGTGAGAATAGGATTATAAAGTGAGTATGACACATGCAATTTTATCACTTAATTTGTTCTAGAAAGAACACTTTTTGACTTCATGCAGCAGTCTTTAGAGAAGCATCAATAATTACTGACCATTTGTGAAGAAGCACGAGCCCACAGGATGATCTAATCTACATCAGTGAGGATATTTTAATACCGTATGTCTCTTCATCATTACAGGATACCTAAACCAAGGTGCATAAACATGTGCTGTGTTAAAAGCTGTTCAGTTTTGTGAGCTTTGTGTAAAAGGGAAGGAAGTCCAGACTGTACTTTTTAAAACAAGTAAAAAATAAATGTCCTTTTCCAATATTACATTGCATTTGTTTCTCTCTAGTTCCTGATTTCTCTTGATATGCTGCAGTTTCAATCTTTCTATTTACACAAAGTAGAAGAATTTCTCAGAAACAGAGGATCAGATTATCAGTGTTGGATGTGAAGATGGGACACACTTTGCTCTCTCTACTGGGGTTTTTCTGTAAGTACTTTTAATGTTTTAATTGCCATTGATACATCTCTATAAATAACCGAGGTTATGATATTTTTAATTTCTTTAATTCTAATAATGTCTGATGTAGTTTAAAAACATATTTCAGTGCTGAATTTACTTTACCGTGGACAAGCTCAAGGTAATTATACAATTTTCTAACTTTTTGTTGACTCATTTTAGACAAATCTACCTATGTAACTCTACAAATCACATCCGTTTGATCAATGTATAATACTTTTTTGAGAAAAAGAAAATACATTTTACTTTATGTATCTTGTGATGGTTTCTAGATGCTGTGCTGACCATTGAGCCAAACTGGACAACTTTTTTTACCGGAGAGTCTGTTACCTTCAAGTGTGACATTACAGGAGACAAAGACAGCGACTGGTCTTACTCAATCCTCAAGGATGGTCAAGAATTTCTCTCTTTCGGCCAACATGAGAGCTTTAATCTACACCCTCTAGCTTCAGGCTACAGTGGTGAATACCAATGCTTTTTTCTGCTCGGGGGATCAACAAAAAGAAGCAATAAAATCTATCTAACTGTATCAGGTAAGAGATCAAAGTAATACCACCATTACGAAGTTCAATAAAAGCATTTTTTATTTATTTATGAGCCACATTGATATGAACATCCAGTTTGGGCAAGTTCTAATATATAATCTGCAAATTATTTTAATGTTTTAACGTTTGAACAGCTCCACTGATGCTGTATAGGCAGGTGGTGTTTACTGTACAATCCTGTCCTTTGTGTTTTCACAAAATAATGAATTAAAATAAGAACAAAAAGACAGACAGGGATTATTTACATAAAGATAATATTTTACCAACAAACCTTGTTATACTTTATTACCTGTGACAAATGTATTGTTTTCACATTGACAGTATCTGACAGTAAGTCATTTATTATCGGTTGACTTTTGTTTGCTGTATATAAAAATAAATCAAAAAAATAGTATTTTGGTTGTTATATTTAAGTACAGTTCACACTTAAATTAGTTTTTTACATACTGTATGCAGAAAATATGTAGGATCCAAGGAGTGCATGTAACCCACCAATTATAAATCATAATGTTTTCATTCTCTGAAATCACTTTCCAACAGACAGACCTAAGCCTGTCCTCACTGTGTCTCCATCATGGCCGAGTCCTGGAGCCTCAGTAACTCTGAACTGCAGGGTTGATCATCCTTCTGCTGGCTGGAGCTTCTACTGGTATAAGGCTGTTCCCAAACTGTCAGACAACTCCTACAGCTATGAGCTGCTACCTGGCAGCAACAATGGGACTGAACAGGATCTCTTCATCATTGATGGACAAACACACACGGCAGGATATGTGTGCAGAGCAGGAAGAGGAGATCCAGTGTATTACAGTTGGTATAGTGAACATAAGTTTGTCTGGTCTGGAGGTCAGTATGTTCTTCATTTTTCTTTCTTTCTGTAGTTTGTACCACCATTAGGCCAACCAATGTCTTTATCAGAGTTTGTCTGGTCTGGAGGCATGTTGTTTTGACTTTTCCATTATTGCAAAATGGAATAAAGTGACTTATTTTGGGAACTTTTCTTTTACACCAGCATCATGTCATAGTTAAGTTTTCAAAACTATTCTCTAAAACAGAATGATGATCAATCAATTTATTTATATAGCCCAATATCACAAATGTTTGTCACATTTGTCTCAGTGGACTTCACAGTTTGTACAGAATATCAGTATGACAATATGACACCCTCTGTCCTTAGACCCTCACATCGTACAAGGAAAAACTTCCAGAGAAAAACCCCACAGTTTAAAGGGGAAAATGTTTTCCAGGTCGGATGCGTAAGACTAAAAACAAGGCTTTCAAAGGAGGTATAATTAAATGTTGGTTTAGTGTTGATAAGTACACTTGAGTCAAAGATTGCTGCAACTCCACCTCCTCGGCCTGTGCCTCGAGCAATATGAGTATTGATATGGCTGATGAATTTATTCCGCTTCTGGACTGGACTGAATTTGAACAAAAGTTAATCTCCTGACCCTCTTTTCATCCTGACACATCAATTGTTGTTCGCCATGGTTCAAACCTTAGACTTTGTAAATCCATAACGTAATAATATAAGGCTTCTACAATACATTGTAATTAGAAACCTTAACTGGTAAGTGTTTTCTTTATTTTTTTTTGGTTGGGAATATGTTTCAAGATATTTATCTGGTGGTTAAATGGTTTAAGACATAAACAATACATATATTTAAAAAATGTAGTGGTGTGAGATTGAGGCACTGGTTCCTTCAGTTTTGTTTTCCTCCTACTTTAGTTTGTTCCTGTTTGTTTTTTCAGGGTAAATTAAGTGGAAGTTTTGCTGTACCCATGCATTGTCTTTTTCAGTTTGCATGTTTTAAATGTCCCCTCTTTGTGTGTTTCAGATTTGAATTCAGCAGCTTCTCTCACAGTGAGTCCTGACAGTGTGCAGCACTTCACCAAAACGTCTGTGTCATTGAGCTGTGAGGGAAACTCCACTGAGTGGAGAGTGAGGAGGTTTTATGAATCTGACTACCTTCTTCCCTGTTCTATCTGGGGGACAAAGACTGGATCCACATGCACAATAACCAGAAGCTGGCTTAGTGGAGTGTTCTGGTGTGAGTCTGAAACAGGACAGTTCAGTAATGCAGTCAACATCACTAAAGATGGTGAGATTATTTAAAATATTTGTTTCTGAATTATTATATTGTTTTGAAACATGAAAGTGACATGCAAAGTGAGTTAAAACTTTAAAAAAAGGCTAATTTGCGAAGTCAATTCCAGGGTCACTCCTCTGAAAGATCAATGTTAATATTCTATGTGTTTCATTGTTTCTTACATCTACCTGTTTTCAGCTTCTGCCAGACTAGAGCAGTTGTACCTTAACGTATTAAATCTGCAAAATCTGATGTCTCTGATAAAGCCTTTATATTTTTTCAGATAATGATATTATCCTGGTGAGTCCTGTCCGTCCGGTGGCTGAGGGACTTCCTGTCACTCTTAGCTGCCAGTTAAAGAGAAAAACTGTTGAAAATGTGGATTTCTATAAAAATGACAAACTCATCCAGAACGATACCAGAAGGGAGCTGACCATCTCTGCAGTGTCAAAGTCAGATGAAGGCTTTTATAAATGTAAACGGAGAGATTCAGCACATGGTTGGACGTCACCAGAGAGTTGGTTTTCAGTAAAATGTGAGTATGATAAAAACAGGTTCCTCTTTTTGAGATGTGTTGCTGAGTCAGAGCTAAAAAAGACAGTTATTACTACATTCAAAGTTGTTTTAGTTTTCTCTGAATTATACAATTTAGTTTTTGTAAGACACATTTTTTTTTCCAGTTCTGTATTCAGTCTTAAAACATTCATATGACCATGATTACATGAGCAGCATTGGAAATATAAGATATGTGACCAGGGGTTTATAGTGTATTTTGTGAATTTGTTCCAATAAGTGTGTAAATATTTATGATTTATGTGTAAGTGCATTTGTATAGTTTTGTATATTCCATAGTTGTACATGTATGTGTCAATGTGTGAATATAGGTTTTTAATACATTTTTTAATTGTCATTGTTTATTTATCTTAGAGATTTCTGAGTCTTGGTCTGACCTTGAAGCTCTGTTCCTGTGAAGTGCTTTGAGGAAAGTGTTATATAAAATAATAATAATTAAGGTTATTTATATTAGCAGCTTCTCGGCCTGGAAAAGTCTCTCAATTTCCCGTCCTGTTGACTGTTGGGCTGCTTTGTGGAGTTTTACTGATAATTCTCCCTCTGCTGTTCCTGTATCGCTACAGAAAATCAAAAGGTCAGAACCTTTTCATCTGATATCAAATGAATTAAACTGTAATTACTCAAAATCACACATTTGCAATTCAAAAACAATGTAACTAAGTTTATCTTGTGTTCAACAGATTCAGTCTTCATCAGGTCGGTACACTCCTCTTTTATCTCATTTTGAACATTACAGCAGTTATATGTTAAATTCAATCCACTTCATCATCTTCATGTGTATGTCCCACAAGATCTCAGAGCACCAATCAGGGCCCTGCTACAGACCACATGATCAACCTGGATGATATTCAAAACATGCCAGAATATTCTACTCTCCTCCATGGTCAGCCCTTCTCCGGCTTAATCATATGATTTATTTTGAACTCTTATCCCTCTTAGGTGCCTTACAAACAATGGACGTCCACTCTCGGGAGCGTCGGAGTGGTGCGGTCACCCTAAGTGACAGACCTAAAGTATCCGGGATTCAGGCATCTTCCCTGGCTTGTACATTTTTGGTGATGCGCCCTGGAGGTATCAGACTATTTTAAACAACTTTTCCCCGCTTTTCAAACACTTATTCCGAGGTTTTAGCCAGTCATTTTGCACGAAATCATTTAACATTGACGGTCTCCTGAAAAAGCACATATTCTGTGCATTTTCAGGAGAGCGTCTATGTTAAATGATTTCGTGCAAAATGACTGTCTAAAACTCTCTTCCAGACATTTAAAAATACTTTCCCCGACCATTTAAACATTATTTCTGGCTTGTAAAGTGCAGTTATGCGCCCTGGAGATATTGCACTATTTACAAAATGTAGCACTCTGTTTATTTCACACCTCCAGGAGAGACCAGGGGGAAATCACCTCTCTCTGCCCCCTCACAGAGCCCCAAGGACGGACTAATTACCTCCAGCATGTCCCCATAACAGTGGGACTCTGTTTCTTTCACAGCTCCAGCAGAGACCAGGGGGAAATCACCTCTCTCTGCCCGCTCACAGAGCCCCAAGGACGGACTAATTACCTCCAGCATGGGCCCCTAACAGTGGGACTCTGCACCTCCAGCAGAGACCAGGGGGAAATCACCTCTTTTTGCCCGCTCACAGAGCACCGAAGGACGGACTAGAGACCTCCAGCACCAGTCCCTAACAGGGGGACTCTGTTTATTTCACACCTCCAGGGCGGAGACCGGGAAAATCACCTCTCTCTGCCCGCTCACAGAGCCCCAAGGACGGACTAATTACCTCCAGCATGGGCCCCTAACAGTGGGACTCTGCACCTCCAGCAGAGACCAGGGGGAAATCACCTCTCTCTGCCCCCTCACAGAGCCCCAAGGACGGACTAATTACCTCCAGCATGTCCCCATAACAGTGGGACTCTGTTTCTTTCACAGCTCCAGCAGAGACCAGGGGAAAATCACCTCTCTCTGCCCCCTCACAGAGCCCCAAGGACGGACTAATTACCTCCAGCATGTCCCCATAACAGTGGGACTCTGTTTCTTTCACAGCTCCAGCAGAGACCAGGGGGAAATCACCTCTCTCTGCCCGCTCACAGAGCCCCAAGGACGGACTAATTACCTCCAGCATGGGCCCCTAACAGTGGGACTCTGCACCTCCAGCAGAGACCAGGGGGAAATCACCTCTTTTTGCCCGCTCACAGAGCACCGAAGGACGGACTAGAGACCTCCAGCACCAGTCCCTAACAGGGGGACTCTGTTTATTTCACACCTCCAGGGCGGAGACCGGGAAAATCACCTCTCATTGCCCGCTCACAGAGCCCCGAAGGACGGACTAATTACCTCCAGCATGGGCCCCTAACAGTGGGACTCTGCACCTCCAGCAGAGACCAGGGGGAAATCACCTCTTTTTGCCCGCTCACAGAGCCCCAAGGACGGACTAATTACCTCCAGCATGGGCCCCTAACAGTGGGACCTCCATAACCTTGCACACCCTGAGTCCCCGGGCCCCCACAGTTAAGCACTCCCCCACGGACTAAACACAGGTATTCACACCCACCAGAACCTCGTGCCCCTGGTGACCTTACAAGGGGGTGGTTTTATGGTGCTTCTGTGTCCGCCCATCAGCATCCATATTCGGCCTTCTTCACGGCATCACCCCCCCTTCTGTGGAGGGTATTCTCGTGCCCCTGGTGACCTTACAAGGGGGTGGTTTTATGGTGCTTCTGTGTCCGCCCATCAGCATCCATATTCGGCCTTCTTCACGGCATCACCCCCCCTTCTGGGCTGGAGGGTATTCTCGTGCCCCTGGTGACCTTACAAGGGGGTGGTTTTATGGTGCTTCTGTGTCCGCCCATCAGCATCCATATTCGGCCTTCTTCACGGCATCACCCCCCCTTCTGGGCTGGAGGTTCAAACACTTTAACTTTTGTTCACCCTCCTCTGGCTTACACCTCCTCCGCCAACACTTGAGCGCTCATCACAGGGTTCAGCACCAAGGAGAGTGCCTCCCCGGTGCTGATGGAAAGTGGCACTTTTTCTGCCCCTGGTAACCATCAAGGTTATTGTTTTTTTTTTTTTTTTTATTTTATTTGAACAAAAAACACAGTTGACAGTACAGAGAGGCTAAAACATAAACTATTTACACGTACTACTGCTACTATAACAGTACTACTAAATTTCTTAACCTACGTTTTAAAGTGCAGTTATGCGCCCTGGAGGTGTTGCACTATTAACAAAATGTATGCCCAGGATTCTGGCACCTTTCCTGGCTTGTAAAGTGCAGTTATGCGCCCTGGAGATATTGTACTATTTACAAAATGTATACACAGGATTATAATAATAATTATATACACGGTATACATATTCACAATGTTTAGCGGGATTCAGGGGACCAAATTAGGCGTCTAATTCTTACGGTGCACCA